TTACTGACAAAAAAAGAGAAAAAAGAACGAAAAGAAAAGGTAAGTAAAAAAAAAAAAAGTAAAAATTATCGAATAAAAAGAAATGGGAAGATAAATAGAAAGAGAGAAAGGGAGAAATTTAAAAATTGAAGAATAAAATAGATTGCGAAAGATTAAAAAAAACTGGGACGAAATAAACGGAGGATGAAATGAAAAAGATAAGGGGGAAAATGGTTTATATTTAAAGAAGAAGAAGAAAGACAGAAAGAAAGAAGAAGAAAGACAGAAGGAAAGAAGAAAAAGAAGAAAGACAGAACTAAAGAAGAAAAAGAAGAAAGACAGAAGAAAAAAGAAGAAGAAGAAGAAAAGACACAATGAAAGAAGAGGATGAAGACGAAAGACAGAACGAAAGAAGAAAGACAGAAGAAAAAAGAAGACGAAGAAGAAGAAGAAGAAGAAGAAGAAGAAGAAGAAGAAGAAGAAAAGACACAACGAAAGAAGAGGAAGAAGAAGAAAGACAGAATGAAAGAAGAGGATGAAGACGAAAGACAGAACGAAAGAAGAAAGACAGAACGAAAGAAGAAGAAGAAGAAGAAGAAGAAGAAGAAGACAGAACAAAAGAAGAAGAAATAAAAGAAGAAAAAAACGAAAGAAGAAAAGAAAGAACAAATTTCAAGAAGAAGAAATAAAAAGAAACCGAAAAAATTGTAAAAAAAAAAGTGAAAAAAAAAGATGGAAGAAAAATTTCAAAATGAGATAAGAAAGAAAAAAAAATGAAAAACAAAAAAAAAATAAAAAAAAAAAAAAAAGAAAAACAAAAGGGAAGAAAAATTGAAAAAAAATGAAAGAAAATGAAAAACAGAACACGAGAATAAAGAGAAATAGAAAAGAAAGGTCTTAAAAACAAGAAAGAAAGCAAAAAGAAATATTCATCGTTAATTTGCAAAAAATGAAGAGAATAAATAAAGAAAATAAAAACGAAACTAAAGAAAAAAAGAAGTCTTGAGGAAGAAATTTAAATTTGAAGAAGATAAAAGAAAACTAAAGAACAGAATAAATGAAAAAAAAGATCGAAGAAAGAAGAAAAAGAAGGAATGATGCTTCAATTTGGGGGAAAAGGAAGAGAAAAGGAAGAAAAAAAGGATAAAAGAATAAACAAATAAAAGGAAGAAGAAAAGGTTTTTAAAAAAATTAAAGAAAAAAAATAGGAATGAAAAAAGAAACATGGCGGTAAGAAAGAAAATGAAATGAATTTTAAGATAAGAGAGAGTGAGTGAGAGTGGCAGAAGGAAAAAAAAGGGGAGAAAATGAAGAGAAACTGATAGAAAAGGAGAAAAAGAGAGGGAGAGAGAAATGGTAAGTACCGAAAAAAAAAGACAGAAAGAAAGAAACGGTGTTTTAAATTAAAGGAAGGCGCAGACAGAGAGAGAAATAAAGGAAGAAGAAAAGACTTCGGATTTAAAGAGGAAAAGAAAAAGAGAATGAAAGGAATATATATATAGAGAGAATAGAGTAATAAAGAAGTATAAAATAATAGAGTGAGGGTGATATATAGAGACACAGAAAGAAGAAGAAGAAGAAGAAGAAGAAGAAGAAGAAGAAGAAGAAGAAGAAGAGGTAGACGATGAAAAGCTAAGCTTTTTAATTTAAAAAAAGAAAGGGAAAATGAAATGGTACCACAAAATAACGAGAGAAAAACGCTGAAACTTGAAGAGAAAGAGAAAGGGAGAGAAAAAAGAAAGAGCAAAAGATGAAAAAAAAGAGAAGGAATATGAAAAGAGAGAGGGTGGGCGTAGGATACTTAAAAATGCGCGACAATGTGGCGAGAAAGGAAATGTTCCGATTTGAACGTGATAAGCGAAAAGAAAGGTGAGAAGAAAAAAGTGGACGAATGAAAGAGATAAACTGTATCGCTCCGTAAAGAAAGGCGACGAATGAATTAAAATTCGAAGGGGTTAAGGAGAAAGGAAAGAAAGAAAGAAAGAAAGAAAGAAAGAAAGAAAGAAAGAAAGAAAGAAAGAAAGAAAGAAACAAACAAACAAAGAACGAAAGAAAAACAGAAAGACAGAAAAAAAGCAAGAAAGATAGAAAGAAAGAAAGACAGATAGACAGACAGACAGAAAGAAAGAAAGAAAGAAACAAACAAACAAAGAACGAAAGAAAAACAGAAAGAAAAAAATCAAGAAAGATAGAAAGCAAGACAGATAGACAGACAGACAGAAAGACAGAAAGAAAGAAAGAGAGAGAGAGAGAGAAAGAAAGAAAGAAAGACACACGGAAAAACAAGAGGACAGAAAGAATGAAAGTAAGAAAGAAAGAAAGAAGGAAAGAAAGAAAGGAAGAACGAAATAAAGAAAGATGATAAACAGAAAACGTGACCAAAAGAAAAAACTGAAACTAGAAATGAGAGAGAGAGAGAGAGAGATGGAGAGAGAGAGAGAGAGAAAGATAAAGTAAGACTGAAAGAAGGCAAAGAGAGAAACTATAAAATAGGTTCTAAGAAATAAAAGAAAAAGAAAAGACAAACTAATAATCGAAAGAAGAATATAAAAAATAAATAAAAGAGAGAGAGATAGAGATAGAGAGAGAGCGAGAGAGAGAGCGATTAAGACAGAGAGAGAGAAGGAGATGGACTATTCAATGCAAGTTACAGGCGATAGAGATTAAGAAAGAAAGAAAGAAAGAAAGAAAGAAAGAAAGAAAGAAAGAAAGAAAGAAAAAATGCTAAAAGAAAAACTGGAGAGAAAGAATAAATAAATAAATAAATAAATAAAGAGAGGGGAAATAACAAAAAGAAGAGAAAAGGTAAAAGTTTCTAAGAAAGGAAAGAAAAATGAAAAGAAGACGAACGAATAATCGGAAAAAGAAGAAGAGAACAAAATAAAAAAAATGAATAAAAGATAGTGATGAACTATTCAGTTACGCGGAATGCAAATTACCGGAGAAAGAAAGAAAGAAAGAAAGAAAGAAAGAAAGAAAGAAAGAAAGAAAGAAAGGTAAAAGAGACAGAAAGAAAACTAGAGAGGAAGAAAGAATATAAATTAGAGGGAGAAATCGTATATAATAAAAGCGGGAGATGTAAAGTCTTTGATTTAGAAAAAATAAACAGGAAAATTAAAAATAAAAATGAGAGAAGACAGAAGAAAAGATAAAAATGGAGAAAAAAAAAAGACAAAAAAATAATGATAGATAAATGAAGTCTAACACAATTATCTTCAAAGATAATGACAAGGCCAACATATCACGGGGACTCCCATCGTACCAGGTCCTCAAGCAGACGATAAGCAAATCAAGAAATGGAGGGAGGCACCCTAAAGTAGTAATTAGACGGGAAATCAGCGGTGTAAAACGGAGACTGCAACTTGGCATGTTACGGCTCACATTTCGCCCGGGACTACTGGCAAAGATCAAGCTTCATACCCACCATTAATCCACCCAAATCTTTGCAGCTGTCACAATGACTGCTATTGCCAGCGTTTGCCGTATACCGCCATTATGGGTTCTCATTTCCCTTCTTTATATCTAACACCATTGTTCAGCCTCGAAGCACAAAGCCACTATAAAATATCTATCTATCTATCTATCTATCTATCTATCTATCTATCTATCTATCTATCTATCTATCTCAGTCTGTTCATATCTATCTATCTATCTATCTATCTATCTATCTATCTATCTATCTCATCTATCTATCTATCTATCTCATCTATCTATCTCAGTCTGTTCATCTATCTATCTATCTATCTATCTATCTATCTATCTATCTATCTATCTATCTCAGTCTGTTCATATCTATCTATCTATCTATCTATCTATCTATCTATCTATCTATCTATCTATCCCATTCTGTTCATATCTATCCATATATCTACCTTTCTATCGTGGGTGTGCGAGTGGTGTATTGGATAGAGGCTCGGAATCGTTAATCGTAGAGCCGAGCTCGAATTCCAATCGGGTTCGATATATATACTTACTCGTATTTACTTACACTTGGGAGTGGTTTGATTCCGTCTCTTTTCCCCAGCTATGGGTTAAATAGTATGAACTATTTATTGAAAAATCACTGATATCCGAAAAAAAAAATCTTCATGCAACTCACTATGCCAGACTTAATAAGTTTTGCGGACATAAAAGTCACCAGTGCATGGTAACTAGAAGTTTATTTTATCAGACCACGATCTCTCTCTCTCTCTCTTTCACACTCTCTATCTTTCTCACACTCTCTCTCAGTCTCTATGTCACATACACTCTCTCTCTCACACACTCTCTCTCGCACACGCTCTCTCTCTCACTCACACTTTTTGTCTCACACTCTCTCTCACACTCTCCCTACCCCCCTCTCTCTCTCTCTCTCTCTCTATATATATATATATATATATATATATATATATATATAATGTATAAGTGCGCAGGTATGCAGAAAACAGAAAAGAACTCGTTGGGTGCATAATCCGGAGTCCCTTAGTATTTTTGTTTTTATTTTTTAAGAAGACAGTGTTCCATACAGAAGTAGAGCTTTATTATAATATTTTTTGTTTAAAAATATGATTCCTTTCTTTACATTGAGGTGTTTAGTCCTGTTTATCTTCAAGCGAAATTTTAGCAATCTCGCTTGAAGATGAAACGAGACTAAACAACTCAATTCAACTAAATTTTTAATAATTATTTGGATGATTTCGGCTCTCGTTTTGAAACATGAGAACTCTTATGTAACGAAGGAATCATATTTTAATCAAAAAAATTATATATATATATATATATATATATATATATATATATATATATATATATATATATATATTTTCTTTTCATGTTTTTTTCTTGATTTTCTTTCAGTCGTCCCGGCTGTAGTAGTAGGACTTCTATCTGGAAAAATCATTGTTTTTCTTAAAAAAAAACAAAAAGAAAAATTATAGCATATTTATTCACAAAAGACAATTCTTTCAATCTGTAATATGTTTCCGTATTCATTTAAATGACCAAGGAAGGGTTGATAATCCGTTAAAAATAAATCAATCAAA